CAAAAAAGTACTCCAGAGTGTTGTTCAGCATGGGGGTGAGTAGAAAATGAAGGCTAATCATGTTTTGGGTGTACTATTCCTTTAAACCCCCAAAATAATGACATTAACCGCAAAAAAATATACCAATATAATCACATTGCACATACAGTATTTTCCTCATTGCGTGCAGACCCTTCTTAGAACAACAATATATTTTTCAAGCACAGTAGCTCATTGTTATCAAATTCTAAAGGAACAGAGCAGCCATCTTTTTTTTTTTTTTTTTTTTTTAAAGATTTTGCCATCTTTTTTTTCTAACAAGAAGGATGTGCCACCACTTTTCTCTTACAATACTAGCAGCAACAGGAAGGAAGAAAAGAGGAATCTGTTTAAGCATACTGCTTGATTACACTCGATCCACTGGCATAATAAGTGAGACACGCAAAGGACATAAAAACAAATGGTAGAAGCCTAAAATGCCCACAGGACAATTAGTTCCACATAGTAAACAAACACAAAAGCTAAAACCTCCCAGAGAAAAATGTCTGCTTTTATCCATTTAACTTCCTTTTGGAGATGCAGATGGGTGCACTTACAGAAGAGACAGAGTAATAGCAGGCCTCACAGCGTTCCCTGCCTTCTACTCATCTTCTGCTTGCCTGCAAGCCTCTACACTGACAGGACAGCATGAGATGCACGCATATCAAACCCCTCATGTCCTGACTCAAAAGGAGAGACGAAAACACCTCCCTTCAACACGCATGCTATTCTTTCCAGAAATTAGCTTTGAAAAGCCTCCATTGGAAGGAGTTTTCTGCTGGGGGTTAAATCTGTTCCTCCATTATTAGGATCCATTAAAGTCTGACAAGAGATGGGAGACCTGTGACAATGTCTTTCATCAAGAGTGATAAGAAAAATCCTTTTCACACTCTAGTGACCCGTTGCATGTTTAAAAGGTTTTTGAGCTCATGGGACAAGATGGCAGGAGAGAACGAGGTCTTAAGATGCTTTTAGGTCAAACTGCCCATACTTCCTGTTGGTCAAGCCCTCATTCAGGACAGGAAGAGTTTAAATCTCTTAAAAATTGAACTGAAATAAGATTTAAAAAAAAGAAAACTCATCAAATACCCAATATGTAAGATAAAATAAACAAATACTGTAAAGCTTTTGTTTCTATTACACATCAATAGCTACAGTAAAGCCCTTAGTTTGATTTTCAGAGGCTGCTCTCATGGGTGTGTAAGATAAGCTCCAGCCAGTCTGTTTGTGGTCATTCAAACTACATTACATCATATTCACATTCTAACTAACTAACGGGAAACTTGTTCAAAGTGCAAATCGGAAAATGGCTGCATTTGTTCTCAAGATAAAGATAAAAAAGCAATTGAGATTTACATAATAGTTGCAGGGAAGTTGTTTTTCTCAAGTAACCCCAGAATTCAAAATAAAAGGAAACAAGTAAGACTCTAAAGATAAAATGTTTAATTTATTTTATGCTGGTTTCAATGCTACTATAAGTCGATAGCTGTTCCTAGAAAATGAGCTCACTTGAGGCTACATTTGTACAATTCAATAAATGGACCTAAGGGCCGCACATCTGGATCGCCTGACTCTATAAAAGCTTGTGGTTTGTGCTCCAAAATGTTCAAATTGGTAATACTTAATATAAAAAGAAAGCAAACTGGAATGCCATGAGCTGGAAATATTCCTAACTATTCCAAACATCCAGGATTTAAAGACGACCAAGTCTCCATCACTGCTAAAGGTTTGGTAAAAAAAAAAAAAAGATTTGCTAATATACTGAGATCTTCGGCCGGTCAATATAATATTGATCTTTTAGCTTTTAATTTAGTTTTTTTTTTAAAAACAAAACTTTTTTCTCGAAAACAATGGGGATAAATGCGCAACTTCCACACTACCCCTCCTGTTGAGGACACTCTATATCTGTGTGGTAGAGCACCAATTTTCATAAACAAGGCAATCGCAGTTGCAGGCCCGGATTGACACAAACCCCAAAAAATATGGCTACCAACATAACAAAATAACTGAATGATCAATATCTTCTGATTAGCATATGCAGCACTTGCTTTTTTATCTTTACTTTTAATTTTAGTATTAGCTCTTTGAATATTACAATATAGGATGATATTGCAATTTCATGATAATGTCGTATCGTGAGTATTGTGATACTCATTAGGGGTGGGTATTGCCAAAGAAGTCACGATTCGATTCCAATCACGATTCACATGCCACAATGCGATTTTATCACGATGCATCACAATATGTGAAATATTGAGATGCATTGCGATATTTTCACTGAACACTGTAAGAAAAAATACAGCTATTACCAGTGGCTGACTGGCTGTGTATGATCTGGATAGTGTCTTCAATTGATACATAACTGAAAGCAACTTAAGTCATACATAGCTGTATTTATTGAAACAACTATCGAAGGTATTGCCATGAAAACAAATACTGGACACAAATATTACTGTTACTGGAGTGGACACACTGACAAAAAGTGCTTTGGATTTATAAAACTTAAAATAACAGTGCTGTTTTCATGGCCTCAGTGGTCCTTTAAACCAATGAAATGGAAACATTCAAATGTTTGACATTTCCCCTTTTGCAAATTACTTGCGTCAAATCAATTTCATTTTTACATTCTTTGTTTTTAAAGCCAAAATGCATCCGAACATCTGACTTGGAATGTGATGGAGCCTGGCGAATTTTCTCAGTCTCCATGTTTTGTTTCTGAATGACTCGTCGCATTATCCGCAGCGACATCTACTGGACTGAAAGTTGTATTCCACTTGTTTTTGGCTGATGTGTGCCAACCATTCATGTATTTTATTTATTCCTTTTTGTTAATTAAGAATCTATACTTGGCATCAAGAATCGATTCAGCGGATCACAAAAATTAGAATCGCGATGCATCGTCATGACAAATATTTTGCACACCCCTAATACTCACAGTATCGTATCAAAACACCTTTCCCAATACTCAACCCTAATCAGTGCAAACAAGGCATCTGCATTGCGTAGCAGAGGATAAGGTCATGATATTATGCTATAAGTGCTACAACATTTGAGCAG